CTCGATGTTGATAGGTTCTTGTCGACCTTGAATTTGTCATTGTTTACTTCTTTGTTTTGATTGTGTCTCTCATTGGTTTGATTCTTGTTCCTATATTTGTGCATAATTTTCCTGATTAGTTGATAAATTGGATCGATTTCAATGTGCTTGTTGATTGCTGATCGGCCTGAGTGCCAGGCTTTTAAAAATTATCTGGTGCTTTTGGAATTTCCTCTGTCTAAGATTTCCACATTTTACCAATCGAATGAGTGTCCGCAGTTGTCCACGTGTATTGATATAACTGAGGAGATATCATGGCATTTGACTGCTAACTGACGCAGTAAATATTGAAGAATTATAAAATGTCCAAATAGTTGTATATTTATGCATTAACCAATGTGAAAGTTCCTGAAAAAAGGATTTTTAAATACATAGATAGATATTTCTGGGAAATGAGAAATAAAGCTAGGCGTTACGTAATAACAACTTCGGAAATGGATAGAGAGATTAAATTGAGTTTAATTGCCATTCAATCTGCATATAATAATTTCCGTAACCAACTAATAGTATTCTAGTCAAAGCTCTTTTATGGTTTACTGTACACAAGTTGCTGAAATTCAAATAAATGAATTAAAACTACTGCTTTTTACGTGTCTGATATTGAAACCAAGATTGAAAGATGATAAACTAATACAACTTACTTATTATTATGTCCATCCAAACCCCTGAACTTTGCGTATAAAAGAAAAATACTCAGCCTCTTCTCTCACTGTAGCCAACTTCAGGCATTATAAGTCAATACTCATCCTCAGTATAAAACAACCTTATTTGTTTAATTTGGTTGGCGTGTTTTTTAGTCAGATTTTTCCTACGGGATGGGGTTGCCAACCTTATACCCAACCCTTTTCCTTTACCCAAACTTGGGACCGGCAGTAACTCCAGAAGAGCTACAGGCGGAGTTGTAAAATGACTTAATTTGACAAATGTACATTTAACCTCTCTCTAATTTAGATTTATCTTAATTCATTTCTACAACTTTTGAAACTTTCTGCCATTAATATAAATAACTGCAATCGATCAGTCTCTTTTAGAACACGTGCATCCTTAATAGATTATCTTGAAATTACCACCAAGTCACAAGTATTCATAAGAAAGATCCTGTGTTCGATTCATGATGATTATCCAATTATGCTTAGTTTGTGATGAAACTTATTAAGGTTACCAATTTCATTTTGCTAACAATCGTTAGTTCATATACCATAGTTTCAAAGGATAATTATGCTTTAAATTTAGCTTAAGATCACTAATTTGAATTTGTAATTCCCAAACTCAATATGAACGAATTTCTTTCTTCACGTATCGTTTGTTTAAACATTATGAGAATTTTTAGACAATTAATTTTTATGCTTTAATTATTCCCGAATTATAAAACTTTTGGTGATTAAACTTTAAGATGAAGATTACTGATAATATTCTTTAAACATTTTACTAACCATAGGTCATGCAAATTCTTGGGGGAAAGGGTATCCAGAGATTTTAACCAAATGTTACATTAAGGGTGAACCGGATGGTACTCTGGGTTCAATCAATCCAATCAATAATATCTCTTATATCTTTGTGTCACAATTATACAAAGAATTGTTTAGTGTATTTCCTGATAACTGGTTTCATTTAGGTGGGCATGAAGTTGAATATAATTGCTGGTAAGCCTTAAAATATAAATTCGTGATAATTATAGTGAACGCATTCATAATTAGAATACGTATTATACTTGCTCCTCAATGTTACATGTTGGAACAACCAACGTTGAATGTGACAAAGTATCGCATAACGGTAGTTCAATTAGATATTCCCTGATAAATTTACAGCGGATGTGGTTTTTTAAGTTTACTGAGCAACTGTGTTGATAAGCGTATAGAATTTAAATATACGAACACTCTGTTCTATGTTAGTGGATATATTTTTTTAATGTAATAAAATATTTGTAAATTAGATTTAATTGTTATACTACTAAATTACTATGTGAAAATGAACAGACCACTTTTAAAATTATCAATAATGTCAACTTTACACCTGATGTTATCTAAACCGAGCTGAATAATCTAATGGCTCTTATCTCCAATTTCAGTCTATCAGCTATGTATATTGTGACCATCAATCAATGTCATTGGCTATGTATATTTCGGTAATAAAAGACTTAAATCCACCGGCTTCTCACAAAGACTGTGAAAAGTCTTAATGAATCTAGTCTCTCATATACATATGCTTACTACCAATAAGATAGATTTGTGGAAATTATTTAAACTACTATTCTAATGATAACCATGTCACTATCGTAGAACAGAATTCTGAAAATTCTAGAGAGAAGATTATCGTGTACAAATACTTAATCAAGAAATCATCATGTTGTATACAGATAGAAATAATGCTTGGTAATTTTTGGGATCCATTTATGGACTTATACTATGCGTACATTTTTATCGTATAATTGTTATGGAACTAAACTGTTCATATTCATGTCGATCTTATTATAAGCTTTGATTTGACCTATGAACTATTACTACACGGTTTACCATTCATGAACTGTTCCCTGTCTGTTAATCGCTACCTCCCTCATTCACAGACACATCTGGCTAATTCTTGTACAAATGTTGTTCATATTTTATTGGTACGTTGTGGTCTGTTTGTTTGATATATAAGCTCAGTATGCTTGAAATACAGTGATTCATATCTCAGAGGCTGAGACTTGCGTTCTGGACTTAACTGACTGGGCTAGACAGGAAGCATGGCGAATCAGAACTCTAGACTGCTCATACGGTCTTACGTGTCATTGATCTTATCAATAAGTCACTGCTCTCTAATCAGCGGTCACAGTTATAACACATCACTCATGACCAGATGAAAAACGTTTGCTTCAACTTTTTAAACTCCAATCAATTTACAAATTTAGCTTCTGCCTAAACATACCTTTAAATATAAAAAAACACATACTTTTATCTGAAGCGCTGTGACCATACAAACTTTAGATTCAATCATTTCATCAAATTGATTGAACATGCCATGCATATTTCGAAGAATTGTTAATAAGTAAACTAAAACTCTGTCATAATTCTGACCGAAACATCGATGTTTCTTAATAACCGTTTTCAGATATCAGCGAACAAGTAATACTAGTATGTTCAGAACCAACTGACATAACTTTTTTTTTCATGATATCTCTTTTTAACTTATGACTTGGAATATTTCTCTATTCTAGATGTCATATGGGAATATTCCCTACCTCTAGAATGATATACAAAGGGAGCATTTATTCTCTTCAATGTTTTAAATTATTGTAATATATTTTGCATTATTTTTATTGATACTAGGCGTTCCAATCCTTCAATTATTGAATTTATGAAAAAAATGAAATTTGATGATGATTATCACCGTCTGGAAGGCTACTACATAAATAATTTAATTCAAATTATCAATGATGTCAAACCACCTGGACGAAATATCACTCCAATTGTGTGGCAAGAAATATTTGAAAATGGATTTAGAGTGAGTACATCATACTTTATGATTTATATAAAAAGTAAATCTAAACTAATGATTATTAGATAACGAGTTACCTTCTGTACAAATCACACTTGGATAAGGTACATGACATTACGTCCTTTAATTCAGATAATATTTCAATCAGCTGAAGATATTCCGCTTTTGCAATGACATTTGATCAAGATTCTTTGTTCTGAATAACAAAGAAGGGCAATAGGTTCCCTAAGGTGGTGCTTGGAGGTAGCCAACAAGAGAGCTTGGGCCTAAGTTTCGTGTTATTTGGCACTCGTCAGGAAAGCGTACTTGTAATCTTAAGGAAGTACATGTTCCACGACGAATTCGACCTGTATCACCCAGCTTCACAGTCAGTGACATCTCATCAAGATACTAAGAAAAAGAAGATCTAAGGAAATGTGAGAACTACAGAGGTATCACACTACTGTCAGTACCAGAGAAAGTCTTTAAAAGAGTGGTGCTGAACCGGATTAAACACCCAGTAGACGCCCAACTTTGAGATCGACAGGATGAATTAAGGAAGGATCAGTCGTACATAGACCAAATCGCGACACTATGGATCATCGTCGAACAATCAGTTGAGTGAAACTCGTCATTATACATCAACTTCATTGATTATGAAAAGGCGTTTGACAGTTTACATAGGAAAATATGATGAAAAATTCTTCGACATTATGGAGTTCCTGAGAAAATTAATAACATTATCCAGAACTCATACGATGAACTACAGTGCAATGTCGTGCATGGAAGACAGCTAACAGATGCATTCCAAGTAAGGACCAGAATCAGACAAGATTATCTACTTTCCCCCTACCCCTATCAACTGGCGGGTGACTAGATTATGGAGACCTCGACATCTGAGGGAAAACACGGCATACAACGGACAGCTCAGAGCCAATTAGACGATTTAAACTTCACAGATGACCTAGCACTTCCATCCCATACACACCAAAAAATGAAGATTAGGAAAACTAGTGTAACTAAAGCCTCTTCAACAGTAGGCTTCAACATACATAAGAGGAAAGTGACATTCTTAAATACCACACAGAGAATACCAACCCAACCACACTTGATGAACAAGCTCTGAAAGATGTGAATTCTTTTCCGTATATGGACAGCGTCATCGATGAAAATGGAGAATCCGATGCACATCGAAAGGTGAGGATTGGCAAAGTTAGAACAGCTGTTCAACCAAAGTTGTTGAAGGTGTTACTAAAATTCTTCTACTTATTCACTGATCTTTTGGTTAATGCAATGCTTTTGCTATAGGCAATAAATGTAGTTTTAATTTTAAAGGTATGTTTATCGATCAGAGAAAATGAAGGTCTTAATTTCCAACACTTCGATAAGTTTTCGTCAGATTTAAATGTGATTTGACATCGTTTTGAGAATTATATGTGCATTTGTATACGTCAGTCAACCCACTCTTTTTTTTTCTTTTATTGATTTTAGGGCGATAAATCATGTGTGGAAAGACTTATATTGGGAATCTGTGGTGAAAAATGTTACTAAAGCAGGCTATAGAGTACTATTCTCAGCTGCTTGGTACCTGAATTACATTTCCTATGGTGATGACTGGAGGTACCACTATCGTGTTGATCCGAGAGATTTCGGAGGTATTTTCAAAATATTGTCATCTACACACTTTGTTCATTTCTCATGTTTGTTGCACATTGGTGGCTTTTTCTTAGTGATCAAAGTTTTTTTTAATGAATGAAAAGATTTACAAGAATTTTCATAGGGAACTGATTCCACTTTTCCACCTCAATTGATTGATAAAATGCTAGAATTACTGATTAAGTTAAGATGCTGGAATCCTCTGAATCGTAATGAAATAGACTTTGCAAGATCGGGCATTTAAGCGAGCAGGTAATTACATCAGTATGTATAAATTATGGCTCATGTAGTAACAAAAGTGGATCCTTGGACTTCAAGTCACAATAAAGTGCATCTAAAATAGCTTTTGTAATAAAATTCTAAATGTGTGCCACATTTCTGTTACTCCATGATCTAAAGATAAAATGCCTGAAGACCTTAGGTTCAATTTCTGGACTGATCATATATCTCCACTCCTGATGAGCCATATACCACTAAGTAACAAATGCATAGTTCCGTCTGAGTTGTCAATTGTTCATCAACATTTGAAAGTTTGTGGCATGATTTAGTGAGAAAATGATAAAGTTATTAGAAAAACATATTTGCTTGTGAATATTAGCATTTTATCAAGGTAAATTATTCATTCAGACCTTATAGAACGATAAGTCGAAGTATAGAATATCGACCATAATTAAACGTGATTTAGAAGTAAAGAATTATGAAATTATTTCACAGGTATTTCGATTTTCAAGCTTTATGTTGCAGTTAAAAATGAACTGTAGATAACCTTACTGTTTACAAGGTTTGTAACCATATTGTTAATGCTAAACTAAACTTATCCGATTGACCTAGTCCGGGTGATTTAAATTATAACTTTACTACTGTGCAAAACAATATAACAATAGTCGATCTATGTTAGATGACAGTTGAAAACCTAGAAGCACTGGTCGGCCATCTCGTTCTAGTATGGGGCTCGTCAGCAGTGTACAACCACAATCCCTCACTCAAATTTCGAATCCAGAATCTACAGTCTCGCGCGCGAACACCTAACCCCTGGACTATTGAGAAGGCATCCAATGGTGTTATTGTCAATTTTAAGTGAGAAGCCGTGCCCAGTGGAGCTAATCCATGTCGGGTATGAGGCAGTTACCCACCGAATAAAATGGAAGATGGTTGTTTAATATCACGGATTGATTGACGTTAGACATTAACATTGTTTGATCCTGGTTCAGTGGTCTTGAGACTGAGTATTCGCGCGCCAGACCGCTGTTGCTGGGCGGTTCTATACTACGACCAATTGACTGTCCGTTATTTGGAGGTTTTCATTGGTGGTCTAACACAAATCGATCCTTGATCTCAATCAAAACTGAACACTCTTCACAACCACGTACTGATAACAACAGTAATCATTTACTGAATACACCGAAATCGCTTTCGAGAAATATTTAATATTTGTTAGTTTCAGATCAAAATACAATTGTTTGTATGACTTATGGATTCTCCTTCACACTTATTTTTGTTTTATAGGTAGTAAGGATGATGCGAAATTGGTTATTGGAGGTGGAGCAGCTATGTGGGGTGAATATGTGGATGACACGAATTTGTTTAGTCGATCATGGTTAGTAAATAAGTACATATTGCATAATTAAGCTAATGAATTTGTGTTGATTGTTCAGAGTGGAGTTAGTTCTTACCAGTGAGTAATATCAACTGAAGGAATATTGAACATTGAGAAACACAACACAAGTATCAAGACTCTCTTTATAAATCTTTAGTTGTGTTCATCAACTCTATACAAAAGGGGCTCGAATCAAGAATATTCAGATTTTCTATCGAGCACCAATCCATTAGGTCAACGGCTTAGAACAACTTTTTATATGTGATTTATTGGACTTTGTTAATTATGTCTTTTAACTAGGATTCCAAGAAATTTATATGGAATTAGTCACTATTAATCACACATTTATGATTTTTTTAATGCTTATTCATTGATATTCAGTTTAATTAAGTGGCACTTTATCATTCCGGATGATACAGAATGGTTGTACCGCCACTTCATGAGCTGATCAAAGTTGAAAAATTGGATTATTAGATGTGACTTTAGTGATCTGAACACATCGTGCTAGCTGCAATGTCTAAAGTTTTATTGATTTAATTAATTTTGTGTTAGTGATTGAACACTGATGGTTAGTCGGAGACTAAAAACTAAATGATTATTCTATTCCATCTAGTTTCCGATGATTATCCAAATAATGTCAGTTTATGATAAAAAAAGATATATTTCAGATATATTTCAGATATATTTCATTTATAGTTAGAATATATTAGGTTAATGGGATAAGAGAGAATTTCGCTAATCATTCATTTAACACATACTTAATTACAGTACATATCCTGTCTTGTATTCAGTGATTGAATTGATTTACGAATGGTTTTCGAAGCTCTAAGTATATCAATGTCTCATTCGTACAACTAAAAATAAAATCCGGTTGACAATCGGTCATATCTTTGTTCGAAGCATTTCAAATTTACAGTGGAACAGCAACCAAGTAAACGTTAATGAAGTTCATCACAGGGCTGTACTCAAATATAGAACCGTTGATGAGATTATGAATATTTAGAGACTGTGATGATCTGAATGTGTATTATGTTAGTCCAACCGCAGCCTATATCGACACCCAGTAGTGGCTTCAGTAGGTATACGTCGGTAGAAAGTTAGGAGCCCCCAAATCAAGATATGATATTGATTTAATTAATTTTGTGTTAGTGATTGAACACTGATGGTTAGTCGGAGACTAAAAACTAAATGATTATTCTATTCCATCTAGTTTCCGATGATTATCCAAATAATGTCAGTTTATGATAAAAAAAGAACGGCTTAGAACAACTTTTTATATGTGATTTATTGGACTTTGTTAATTATGTCTTTTAACTAGAATTCCAAGAAATTTATATGGAATTAGTCACTATTAATCACACATTTATGATTTTTTATACTTATTCATTGATATTCAGTTTAATTATGTGACACTTTATCATTCCTGATGATACAGAATGGTTGTAGCGCCACTTCATGAGCTGTTCAAAGTTGAAAAATTGGATTATTAGATGTGACTTTAGTGATCTAAACACATCGTGCTAGCTGCAATGTCTAAAGCTTTATTGATTTAATTAATTTTGTGTTAGTGATCGAACACTGATGGTTAGTCGGAGACTAAAAACTAAATGATTATTCTATTCCATCTAGTTTCCGATGATTATCCAAATAATGTCAGTTTATGATAAAAGACAGCCAATTTTACAATGTTAAAGGTTCCCATTGTGAAAATTAGAACAACACATATAAGCGAACAATATTGTTTTCAATTAGATCGTCATCAGGCTTTACTCTAATATACATCAATATTTATACGAAAATGTTAAATCAATCAAGGCAATATGAGTCAATAATCACAATGAAATAGAATAAGTCTCTAGGTAAAAGTACAAGTTGATAGTAGGAAGACAGATGAACTGATAATAGTAAGAATAATAAAATACAATAACAAAACTCTTATCAATAATTAATCGTTGGAAATAGAAGGTCAAATAAACATGGGTAAATCGACTAGGAATAGTCAACACCAAAACATTAACATCATTACGTAATAAGATGTGGGTAAATAATTAGATAGTGAAGAATACAAAGAGACGGAGAATTACAAACAAATAATGGATGTGAAAAGTACAACAATCGATCATATCTTTGTTTGCAGCAATGCAAACTTAGAGTGGAATCAAGCAAATGATGATGAAGTTAAACACATGGTAGTAGTCAAATATAGATCCGTTGATGAGATTATGAATATTTAGAGACTGTAGTGACCTATATATGTATTATGTAAGTCCAACTGCAGCCTATATCGATACCCAGAAGTGGCCCAAAAGTCAAGATATGATATTCCATGAAGCAATTGACTGTTAATTTGAGCCATATTGGTAAGCGTAAATTACACAGTTGGATCCATTATGACAGTCCTAATCAGTGAATGATTAACCTTAGGCGGCGTGACTTAAAATGGATGAGAATGGAGATGTATTGACTTTTTGCCAGTTCACAGTTACTTAGTTACAAAATCATTACTTACTTTAGATTTATTTGTAAACACATTATTTCCCGAATGGTTTTGTACATCTCATTTGTTTCACAATGACTAATACTACTATTTCTACTAGTGTATTCATCTTATTAATTTCATCTCTCTGTGCTGATACGGTGCTTCAATTTATGCCTATGGACATACGTCCCATGTCCTGGCTTTGCTTACAAATCGGTGACTGAGCCTAATGGCTTATTTTTCCAATGTTGATCACAACAGTTCCGTCCTATCAGGCCAACCTAGAATGGTCAATACATGAATTCTAAAAGTTTTTCTCAACTGATATAAAATAGGAACCTCATTCACTTTCTCTATACGAGAGCTAGACAAATCCGAACCAAATATACAATCTATGTCGAACATGATAAATTAATTCAGACACCTATCAGCAACGGATATCTACCTAAATTAATTGGGAAAATTTCGAGGCCGAAAAAACAACTTGAAAGTATGCTCATAACAACAGAGAAAACTACCTTCACGTACATTCCGAAATTCCGAAGCCAGACTCTTGAGATCTCTGAGAAAAACATAATCTTTTTTTTTATTTTTAAGTTTGATGAAAGAATAGTTTTATTAACAAACCTGAATTAACCGAATTTTATCATTGAAGGTCACTCGTCTCCACTTTGAATTGTCGGCCACTCCTGGTCACGTGACATGCACGGCCTTGTCCATATCACGGTCATTGGTCAGGACCTTGATTGTCGGCGGCCGTTAGTCACGTGTCACGTCCTTGTCCCTCCCAAGGTCATTGGCTTCAAACGGACCATGTCGACAAACGATCCCTCTCGCCAGATTCAAACCCAGGTCCTTCAGTTTTCAGGATAAATTTGGTTTCTGGTTTCCTATTGTAGACTGACCAAGTATTTAGAAAGTATATCGCAACTCATTAATATTGATATAAGTGGTTTAACTAATTAAGCATCACCTCATTATAAGAAAGTACAACAATAATACAATATCATTCATTGATTTGCTTTTTCAGTAAATAATACAACTTCTCGAAATACTTCAGCTGATCAAGGTTCCGATAGTAGAACTATTAAATCAGCAACAAAATCAACTGGAAACAAAACAATTGGTATCACTGGTCAAAAATCTTCTTCTACACGTGGTACTTCAGCAAAAATTGATTTTAATCAAGCACATTGGAAAATGAGAATTATATGTACAAAAATTTTCAGTATGATTTACTCTTCTAAATTGTATATTACTTAAGTGGAACTACTTCGATGTTTATCTGTTGTTTATTTATAACAATTTTTCTAAGGGTAGGCAATTTTATTTCATGTTAATAAATGTGTAGCGTGGTGTCGAGTCCCAATTGACTATGAACACCACTACAAAGAAACACGCGCCAAATAAATCAGAAGGCGCAGGTTGAACGTAACCAAATTTATTCGTTGGTGATCTCGTGGTATCGAATGAATTCTGAGATCGTGCTAAGAAAAGGTACAAGCGGAATCGGCAGAAGAAAGTACGTGAGAACGGAGTCACAAACCGCGAAACAATAATGTAGAACAATGGATGAGCGATATGGCGAAACAGCCATCCAGTAATTCCATATTTTTCATGGTAGTCTAGAAATAATTGACTTATGAATTCAAGTATACATTTATAAATGTTAATCAAAGCATAGCATAAAACTCTTCAACAGTGCACATCCACGATCCCGCCTCGCGAGTTTCGAACTCAGGACACATCAGTTTCGCGCGCGAGCACCCAACAGTCTTAACGTCTAACTTCAACTAATCCAAGAAATTCAGCGACATATTCACCATTGTTTTCGCTGAATTACTATCTCATAACAGACCCGGTTGAACTTCACTGGTCATTGCTTCTCACTAGAACTCCATGAAATATCTCTTGAAACCAGTCACTAGTGAGCGTATGTTGATTATTATCAGAAGGGGTTTTTATAGATATTATAGTAATTTTAATATTTGAGATCATGAGTTCTCGTTTTATTGGTTGGTATAAATGTCATATTGAACTGGGCTATTTCTTCATTTTGTTATTTGTACCTAACGTTGATTGTTCATTGTTGCTTTCAAAATAGCAATTGAAACGTTTTCAGATTGTCTACAAGGATCATGCAATAGATTTTTCATTCAACGTAATGCTGCAGTTGATGGTGAGACTCTGAGAGATGTGGAATCCTTCATATACCTGGGAAGCGTCATCGATGAACAAAGAGGATTCTATGTAGACGTAAATATGAGGATCGGCAAAACAAGGTCCGCATTCTTGCTGTTGAAAAACATATAGAACTCAAAATCGTATTATCCTTTTCACTTAATTGTGACTTTCATAGCATCAATCTAAACAATAACTGCACAAACATTCATTCTCTCGTCATATCATACTACAATGATAAATTATTTTTGGTTACTAATTAGACGATACACACATAGTCGTTTGTTCTTGTTCTGTGTTAATAAACACGCCTATTACACTGTTTGCGTATTTCATGTCTCCTTTATTTCTATTCTCTTATTTTCTACATTTCCTTCTTCAAAACTCAATTCAATATTCTTCTCAATTACACAGACCCAATTTATTATTATTAATATTCTACTCTTATTATTCTAAATTTTTTTCTTAAATATGCCAAGTATAACGCTAACATTATTGAAAATTGTGTATTTTTGCATCATCTGAAGAAACCCGAAATGGTTTCTTCACAACACTTTTGTACCCATAAAATGTTTGTGAATAATAATAATAATAATAATAATAATAATAATAATAATAATAATAATAATAATAATAATAATAATAATAATAATAATACAAAAGTCACAATCTTCAATACGAACATCAACACAGTTTTACTATAAGGAGCTCAAACTTCGAGAACTATTACAACCATCAACAAAAACGTACAAGTATTTCTAAATAATTGTCTATGCAAGATACTCAACATCCATTGACCGGATGCCATCAGCAACAGTCTATTGTGTGAGAGAACAAACCAGATTGCAGATGAAGAAGAAATTATGGAAATACATTGGATGTGGATAGGACATACATTGAGTAAATCATCAAACTGCATCACGAGGCAAGCGCTACCTTGGAGTTCTAAAGGCAAGCGGAAAAGAGGAAGGTCAAAGAACACATTATGTCGGGAAATAGAAGCAGATATGAATAATAACTGGAAAGAACTGGGAAGCATTGCCCAAGACAGGTTTAAATGGAGAGTGCTTGTGGGTGGCCTATGCTCCTCCACGAGGAGTAACAGGCGTAAGTAAGTAAGTAATTAAGCAATACTATTTATAATTAATTCTAAAGAATAGAAATTGAGTGAAAGGATAGAATGTTACTGATTTGCCTGCTTTTATGTTTATCAAATGTTTATACTTTCTTATTATTTTATTAGAATGACATTAAATTCATTAATATGGATAATAAAATATTAGAAGTTAAATCTTTAAAAAGAGCTTGTGAAGAAATGGAACCTGGTAGAGCGATGAGAGCTGAAATATCAAGAGCACGTTCTCTTGAATAATATGGTCTAATGAATAAATTGGATAACAAGACTAATGTAGATGATTCAGGATCTGATGGTTAGTTGTGTGAATAAATCAACTTTTTTTAAATTGTTAGTTGCATGTATTGTCACCAAGAAACCTTGTTTAACCTAAGTTTCAACTCAACCATTACTTATAAACAAACATATCTGTAGTCTTGATGGAACTTATTTACTTTGTTGATTTTAAACTGTACATAATTCGAACATACTTACTCACTTATTTACGTCTGTTACTGCTTGTCAATAAGAATAAGCCGCTCACCAGTATTCTCCATCCAACCCTATCTTGGACAATCATTTACAGCTTCTCCCAGTTGTTATTCATCTTTTTCATATCTGCTTCTATTTCCCAACGTAATTTGTTTTTTGGCCTTTCTCTTTTCCACTTCACCCCAGGATTCCAAGTTAGAGCTTGCCTCGTGATGTAGTTTGAAATCATAAACTTTATAAATGTAAGTATTAAAGAAATCTGACTGGTAACTGTCAATATTGTCGAATCTAATTTCCTAGAACATTCAGTTAGCTGTTATCGACAGCTTAATCACGAATAGGGTCATCTATAAATTATAATCTCATCAGTTTTTGTTTTATTAAATATTCTAGATGAAGTTTTCTTCAGTAAAGTAAATCATTTGGTTATGAAGATTTCGTTGCCTATCTGAACGTTGTCATCAGTTATGAAATGTCTACATTTCTCCACATATAACTCATAGCTTAGAACTTGATGTTGATTAGTTTCTGATTGATTATAACTCTCATTGACGAGACTCTATGGACAACCTTTGAACGAATCTTCAATGTTCTTCACCAATGTATATATTACAAAAAACCAAGAGAATTAAAGTGGTTCGAAGACTAATCATGGTTTGATAAAGGTTCAGAGGTACTGAAATAATAGTACATACGAAAGAGGGACTCATCCATTATGGCTCTATAATAGTCGACCTCTCGAACCATGATAGGGTCGTCAGAACCTTTTCAGCTTCGACCACATAACTTCAATATTGTCACAGGGGTGTACTCCAGTTTTAGGGTCCACAAAATAACGCTTACAAATAACGACATTATGCACATATCCAAGTTTTTGAAGGTAACCGTATTCATCAGGTACTGAGGATAGCGTCATCACCATGAAATCGTTCAAACGCTTCTGATTGACTCGTCCATAAATTAGAGTCTCATTCTGTCATTTAGTTTGGATATTTATTGTTCAACAAATATGTACTTAAGATTGTGTTATTTTCATTATTTTCTCCTCTTTTTTTTCTTTCCTTCTTTTTAATCAATAGTTCGCAACTGACGAAGTACACTATAATTATTACGAACTGTGTATGAATGATAGAAATAATATAATAAAACAATATAAAAATAATAAAGAAACATCATGTAATCCAACAATGATTGAACATAGTGATAATACAGAACCAATTCTAAATAGAAATGAAAATGTAAAAAAAATAGCAAAAGAATTAAAACATCAAGAAGTTCAAAAATTGATCGAATTCAAATCAACGAAAAAATTGAGAGAAAAATTAAATTAACTGTTTGTTTTACTCTCTTGTTTTTTCTACTCCCCCTCCTCTCGTCGTCGTCGTCGTCGTTAATAAATTGTTATATCAATGATTGAAAACATGAGTCATTTGAAGCAAGATCACCATGGATAACCTGGAAACACTGGACAGCCGTTATGTCCTAGCATGGGACACCTCAGCGGCAGTGCGCATCCAGGATCCCATGGCCTATCATTCTCATGCAAGGCGCTTAACAAACTAGAGACCATGGTGGTCTGACTTCAATTGACTCATGATTTCAATCGGTGAAATTTCTAATGGTCTCCACAAAACCTCTTCTCATATATTGTTATATGTTTAGAAAATTATATATATATATATATATATATATATATATATATATATATATATATATATATATATATATATATATATATATATATATATATATATATATCGTTAGAGTCTATAACAGAGTAAAACCTAATAGTTCGACTGGTTAGTATCGATAATATTCCTCGTCTCCACCACCTTCATATCGACATTGTTGGACCGTAACCAATTTCTAATGGTTACACGCATAAATTAACATGTATAGATAGATTTACGCATCCACGACCCCTCAACCCGCGAGGTTCGAACCCGTGACCTATCAGTTATATGCAAGGCGCTTAACCAACTAGACCATAGTGGTATGACTCAAATTGACTCATGATTTCAATCAGTGAAATTTTTAAAATCTGCACAAATGTCCTTCTGATATATTGTTATATGTTTAGAAAATAATATGTATATAATTCTTTAGAGTCTATTATAGAGTAAAACCTAATAGATTGACTGGTAATATCGATAAGATTTCTCGCCTCGCAAGATCTGAACCCAGGACATATCAATCTCTGGATTGTGGATACGCAGTGTTGAGGAGTCCCATAATAGGAAGAAATGCCTGTCCAATGTTTTCATGTTTTCCATCGAGGTTAAGCTTCAATTGATTCATGAATTGAACTATTGAAATTACTATAATATCCACAAGGATATATATGATTGATATGATCTTATTCCATCACTTAGTGTGAATGTCATAGTTCTACATATGGTCTGTCGTGTAATGAATACTACATCTGTAACACTCAGTGATGTTGGATAGGAACTTTTAATAATATCATTCTTGTCAA